GTGGTGAATGTAAACTTATTGGCCATATTCCAAAAACTTCACTGAAAAAAGTTTCTTCTATATAATTCCGCTTCAATTTATCTTGTTTGTTTGTGGATCATAAATTATTCAGCAAAATTAGTACATACTTGAATACTTTTTCGCAGCTTTCTGGTACATCTGAATCGTGTATTTTGAAGGCTATGATTTGATGAGATTTGAGAAACGAAATTGTATTCTAGAAAAAAAATATCCCAAAAAAGTACTTTCGCTTCAGAAACATTTCAGAATTTATCAGTATTCCAAGAAATATCTCTGTGATCAAATTACAGTTTGATGCAGTTTGTATCGAATACAACTGATCAAAAATATCATTTTGTCAAAATCGCCAAAGATAAATCGGTCTAAGAATTACTTTCCATTCACGAAGCTTGAGCTTCAAATGCTTATCAGTAGTGTAATCGATATTTAAATGCGCATAAATAATGCCTTTGCCTCGAAAAACAATAAGCAATGAGGCTTGTTCAAAAAAATGTCTGAAATGTAATTTCTGAATAATTTGCATTACTGATTATCCGAAGTAGATTATCTGTGAACTTTGAGATATATTTGCATTCTGAAGCAACAAACAATAGATTTCTTGTAACAGACCTGTAATCATAAGGAGCAGTGTATGAAATATGAAATATTTTTACATGTTTCGAAGTGCACATACTGTTCAAAAGATCATGGAACGGATAGAAAGAATATCTTCGGTAATGCATCATTAGAATCAATTTCACATCAGGCTGAAAATTAGCATGTTTTACATAAACATATTCTATTATATTAAAATCGATCACCTGATGAGCAAGCAGGATTCTTAATTGTCGATCAATAGTGATCAACTCATTTGTTGAAATGCTCAGATTAAAATTCAAACTTGATAATACTAAAATTTATAAACAGACTTACCAGAAATAGTTTTACGGGAGGCTCAATCTTGTACAAATTATTCCTGAAATAACAAACATGTTTGTGCAAGCTATTTGTGGCTTCAGTACAAATTCAAATGAATTTAATCAAAAAGATAAACCGTTTCTCTGTGATGGTAAGGTAGTCGACGTATGCTCCAAACATTTTAGGTATGAGCACGCCATCTCCCTTAGGCACTTCTGCAAAGGCCTCAGTAATACAAAAATTATTGAAACATACCAATATATGATCTTCCTTTATAGATCTTATGAACTTATCATAAGTGAGAGAAATAATTTTTATTCGAACAAAAAACAAACCATCGCTTTCAAATTCGATATATCGACCATCAGATTGGTATTCCTTTATAACAAGAATCCTACAGTGGGACGAATCTCTATCTGTGAATCTCAAGTTAGTTTCTCCAGCAACAATGGCCATTTGCGGTGTCCACTGAGTCTTAAACGCAAAAGTTCATAGCGCAGCAAAATTTGAATACAAAAAGTTTAATTAAAAAACTAAAAACATGCCTTAGTACTGTTTTTCAAATATGTTAAATAAATATATAAACTCATTAATATAGTGAAGAGAGCTCTTTGATCAGCAACGAAAACTT